GAAGCAAGAGTTAAGCTGCATATGGCCCCCCAAATTACTGACAGTGTGGCATCCAGAGCACTTGTGTTATGCATGGACAGCGTTTTATTTTTCTAACAAGACTAGCTGTTGCCCTGTGCTACAGGGGAAGCCTTTAGGAGAAATATGCTGTAACAAGGCCCAGTTTCTCAGGAGCAAAGGTCTTTACTCATCTCTACTGTAATTACAAGGGAATTAAATTATATTGAACATAGATTTATTTTAACCAGCCAGCTGCCTCAACATAAACAGTAATTTCTTTCTTCCAGTGAGCCAGCTAGATAGCCAGCAAAGAGAAAAAGAAGAGTACCTCACCCTTCTGCCAGTCCTACTAGATAAAGGTAGAAGCACAACATACTTTGAGGCTGTACTGCAATCCTGCAAACCCTTGCCCAGTGAAAATATGCATTTATCAGACCCAACTCCATGAGTAGCTTCAGGCACTGTCACGAGAGGAAGCTGAGGCCCTTGGCCCTCTCAGCAGATGGCTCTGGGCTATCCAGCAAGGAGCAAACCCTGACCCATTCCTGTCAGTCCATTTGGAGCATGGTTTAGTCAGAGATTGAAGACCATTTTTGGAATGCTCCATCTCCTACAGAGCTGTTACTACATGGCTGCAGGACCCACATCTCCTGTTCTTAACAAGACCTTACTCAGAGAATTACATCTCCCCGCCTTTTCAGAAAGCTACAGGAACAAGGTTTGAAGCATATCAAGTTCACTGTGATACAAAGCTGGCAGGTTAAAAGTTAATGGCCTATTTTTGTGTTACATTTTCACAAAGTAAGGCTGAAGCTATCTATTCCCCTGATAATTCTTACAAGGGGCTTATTTGCAAATGGTGGAAAAATTAACACACCAACATGCTAATGGAACAGTCAGCTATCAGCATAACTTGGTGTGATGTCTGTAGTCACCACAGCACTGAGAACAGCAGCTGTTACGGAGGCAAACAGCTGAAATAAAAGAGGAAGAAAGGCAGCTTGCAAATAACTGCCTTTGCTAGTCAAAATGGCTCTTAATACTCTTTGTATAAAGATACACTATTGTTAACATCTGCTTGAAGTTAATCTGAAGAGTTGTTTGCAAATTGCAATGCTGGTAAGCACCTGCTGCTATAGGATAGATGAACTTTTGCAGGCATATAACATGATATTTTATTCTCAGAAGCTCTCACACACACTGCCCTATACAGAACAGAAATGAATGGACTTTGTGAAGGACACTTTAGTTGTAATTGGATAGGACAATACACAAGTATTGCCAGACATCAGAACAGTCTGGTTCAGATATATTCTACAGCGTGAGGGTCTAAGTGGTCTTGGAAGTGTGACTAAGGAAAGCAAACCAATTGTCAGCGATTTAGGTTGGTAACCTGGAGGCCTGTGTATTAATATGGATCAAAACTAATAAAACCAGAAAGTTCCTGGAACCACTTAACAAGGTTCTTTTTAAAACTGTCCTTTGCCTCAGCGTGTTTGAGTGCAGGACAGGTCCCATCTTCCTGGCATGGAGGCCATGCAAGAAGTGCAACATGTTTTCTGCATTTGCTGTTCACCTTTGTGCTTTCTATTCCTTTGTTAGAGTTTTCCTGAGCCACTCTTCCCATGAAGAAATTCACTGCACTTGAATGTTTTAATTCAGTCAGGTAAATCAAAATGGCAAAAAAAACAAGCCAAAAGAGGGAGCCCTTCTTTACAACAAGTCTCTGTACACCTTCTTAGTAGCGAGATTTTTCTTTCTTTTCCATGCTGTTCAGTTTGAATCAAGGATGGTCCTATTGGATGTATCCATGCCATAAGACTGTAGATATGCAGTGGATGAGTTAGTCCCTCCCTGTACTTTAGTGACTTTTTTTCCTTTTGATTTGTCCTTCAGGTTTTTTTTTGTGGCCTAATTTATGATTGAAAGTGTTGGCAGTTTTCAGAATGGTCATAGATTTTCAGATATAATTGAAAATATCATGATGCTCTGATAGCTTGCATAGCTGTAACTCAGGTTGTAAACTAGACAAGAATTTGTCATGCAGGTGAAAAGTTAACAGAGGCTCAGTCATCTCTTATTTCTGTGACTGCACAAAATTAAGAGGAAAAGTGGGAAGGGTGAGTGAACCCCAAGTGTCTTCCAGGACCTTGTGACAGTTCCTGTTTTTTTTAATTCAATCTAACTCCTAATCTTTTGAGCTTAGTGGAGATAACAACTGATTTGGGTGGAGGGACCAGGCTTGTAAAGAGAACAACAGGCAGATGGGCAATATGAGTGCAAAGGAAATGTTTTTTTCCTACTCTTGAAACCAAATCAAAGAACTAGCATGTCTTCACTCCTCAGGTCAAGGATTGAGATTTTTTACTAGACTTGTCTTTTCATCAGTATTGCTCCAGAGGGAAAGATGCTCCTGCAGGATCTGTGAATGGGCTTCAGTTCGACACTTTAAGGAAGGAGACTGGCAGAGTGCAGGCAGAATACTGAGACAGCTTGTACATCCTTTTTACTCTAATGCATCTTTGCAGCCTTTGCAGAATTTAGTTGATGTTAATTCCAAGTGAATGTGTGAGACAAACGCACAAATTTCTGGAAAATCACAGCACTGTATTTGTGCAGGTGGAAGCAATAAGGTATGTTTGAAAATCAGATGTTCGTCTGGAATTGAGAAATTAAATTTTTATCTCAGACTACAAGTTATTAACCACCACCACTATTACTATTAATCTTCTGCCATAAAGCATACATTATTAATAACTGCCTGTTCACACTGCGCTGTGAATGGTGAGTGCCATTTCTGAGTATCTGAGTATTTTAAAAAGCTCTGCAAATGCAATGCTCATAACTCTGGATAACCAGGACAGAGTGGATTCAGTTGCTATGGTTGCAGGCAACAGACAGAGAAGATCTCTGTTGTACCTCAGGCAGTAACAACTGATTGTGCCACTAAATCCACTTACATTCATTGTTTTAATTATAATAATTCACAGTTGTGCTGACTCTGCTGCAGGTAACATTACTGGCATTAGCAGAGGCAGGAAGACAGGCAATGGAAATCAAAGGCCCAGTGAAGAAGTTGTCCCTAGTCTAAAACAATAACCTACAACTACTAAGTATCTAAGCAGAAATGCTTTGAGTTAAATGTATCCATGCAACAAGGAAATGTCTCTAAAAGCAGCCTACATCAATTCCAGTATATCTTGACAATAAGTGATAATTTCTAAAGGGGATTCTTTTCCTTTCTTTGATCAAAAAGATTTAATAGCATAGAAGAGAGCCCTTTCCCTTAACAGATCTTGGATCCTTTCAGAAACAGTCAAACTGTGCCACTGCCTCAGTTTCACTACTCACCTTAGTACTGAGGATTCAACCAGTCTCTTGTGCAATGCAAGTTTAATATCACTAATGTGACAAAGAATCTTACTATGTCTTCATCACTAACATATTCCACAAACAGCTATTTAAAAGGCAACTGCACTTACATCCTGAAGGTGCATATGCCAATAGAGGATGAACACTAAGAAGTTAACTAATATTACTACCTTTCCATGCTACTCTAATTAGGGTCATAATGACTAAGACGTTTGAATGCAGTTACTCCAATGTGCCAGGCTCCTTTTTTTAAGTATGTCTGAACAGGAAAAAAAACCAACCAACCAACAAAAAAAACATATGCATGTCAGTCCCTTTCTCATCATCTCATCATCGATTTGGGATTACAGACCAGAACCAGTTTACTTTTTAAAGAATAGCTATATTTTTAACTTCTGTGAGATGTAGGAACCAGATGGATACTTTGCTGTTTCAGTTAGCAGAAAGGGGTGGCATCGTAAGTGGTTAAAAATATCCTCTGAGTCCAGCTAAGGAGTATCTATTTTCAGTATTGATTACCAGGGATGCATTTTTAACAACCTGTATCTCTTAACAAAGGTAGCCCATTAGAGAAGCCGTGACTCCGTAAGTCCCTGTCGTTTTCCCATTGTATCTTTCCACCTAATAAATAAGTGCTGGTGCAATGCACAATGTCTGTATAGCTAGCTAAATTAATCAGAACCAATCTAATTTTTCATAATGGTTCTTTTAAAACAGTCTCTGCTTTGCTGCAGAGAGGTGAGATCAGAGTGACACTCAGTGGCAATACAGAAAAACTCATTCTCAGTTTCTCAGATTCTAACATTTATTATTAGGATAAAATTTTAATCAGATTAGTAGTATTTTCTGTCTGTTTGATAATATTCCATGTAAGCATTATAATTCAGATGAAAAATGTACTTCTGATTATGCAAACAGAAAAACTGGATTACTTACTTTTCCAAGGCCCCTCATACTCATGACTTGTGTGTTGTAATGTCCTGCAATTGAAAAAGAAATTTTTTAAAAAATTAAAAAGACATTTTTAAAAAATTAAGAAATTGAACTAAAAACTAAAATACTGAATTTCAGAATTAAGAGACTTGAATCACCATATTTTTACATTCTGCTGTAATTTGAATCTTTGCAGATTACTTGAACAGTCTGAAGAGCAGCATTTTACATCTTGCATACAATTTAACACTTTGCATATACATGTGACAGCTTGTGACCCTCCTAGTTATTTGTGTTAGATCAAAACGTTTTCTGTGTGTTTCTGAATGCACACCAATATAGGGCTCTGAAAAAAAGGAGACATTTCCCCTTTTATGTAAGTAAACACTGGAATAAATTATGGAATCTACTCTTGAAGATTTTTAGCATCAGTCCTGACAAGCACTTGATGGAAATATTTTAGGTACAGTAAGATAGCAGTGCGGACTGTCAGTCTTTCCAGCCCTGCCTGCTTTGGTGCAGGCAAAGATTCAGAGCATTACATTCAATTGTGGTGCCAGAAATTCATCTGAGCCTGCGGCTGCCTAGAGTCACTCAAACCCACGGCGTTCGGGGATGCTAGTAAGTAAGAGTTATCAAAATGCAATGTTCCCTGAAGCACTGTATGTAAAATGATTTCCATCCATCTCCAACAGGGTCCTGTTGCATCGCCCATGTCTATGCGGTCGGTTCTTACCGGCGGGGCGTGCCTGTCCCCACCGCCGCTGCCGCCGCCGGGACCTCCCCCCCTGTTTGAGGCAGAAGCCACCAAGGATGAAGGAACTGCAGCTCGCTCGGCCCTCTTCGCAGAGCTGAACCAGGGAGAGGCAATCACCAAAGGTCAGGAGGAAAGTAATCACGTTTTGGTCCTTGAGTCAAACTACATCAAGAGATGCCATATGTATGAATCTAAGCTCCACCACATTTAAGCAACTCATATTTTCTGAGGCTTACAGGGAAAG